CCACCTTCCAGAGCCTGAATGCAGTTAGAATAGTCTACCCGTTTGCTATTAGAAAACAAACAAAAACATTTTTTCTAAGCAAAAACATGTATTTACATATGTAATGTATAAATATATCTATATTTTATATATAAAGATGCTTACCTTTTTTGGGTTTGTTTCTCCTTTGCTTTCATTTATGCACACACACTTTTGTATCAGAAGGAAGGAGGAGTGCCCTGTGTTCCTGGGGCCTTTGTTGTTACAGCCTGGTCTGATATCTTGTCCTTTGGGGCAGGACCAGCTGCCATTCAGGACACTCAGCCAGATTCCTGGGCTCCAACTCTAACAGGCAGAGTCCTTTTGAGCAGGACAGGACCATCTTAGATCCTACAGTGGGGACTGAGGCCTCCAAATCTTGCAGTCCTGGAGTGAAAAGTAATTGTTCAGCCTCAAAAGTGAACACCAAGCAGTGTGGTTTACAGGCTTACCAACCAACCATCTTTTCGTAGACTCTCTGAAGGTCAGGAGAACCCATCTGAGCACTGGCTTTTGGCCTTTGATGCAGAAAGGAAGGGACCCAAGCAAAGGGTGATGGTCTGTGAGGAGAGAGGGGGACAGCTGGGAGTGTCTGGGCTGTTTGTGAGTCCCCTCTCCCTGGACATGCCCCTACTGCCCTAGGTGTGCTCCATGGACTGAGGCCAGGAGCAGGCATGATAGCCCCAGGTGCTGTTTGGTAAGTTTGTAATGCAAGCGTAGTCCGGTCCGTGCTTCCTTGCATATATGTTTGCTGGCTCTCTGTGGACAGAGCCTATTCCACATGGCTGTAGATATAAAGGTGAACTGCCAATGAAACAGAGAGCAGGAACAGGGAACTTGTGTTCATTGAAACAGCTTGCGGTAGGATACTGCCTAAGACTTGCGCTTCTGCTTCTAACTACAGTTGAGCAATAGAAGGACCAGGGCCATGGGTCTTTCCCACTGTGGAGGAGGGAGTTTAATGACCAGAGTTGGGGCTTCTGTCATCAGCTTCCCTGGAAATAACACCCCTACACACAGTCCTGCACCAAAGTAGTAGTGTGCTCGCCTGCCTCTGGGCTTTTCTTGGAAAAGGCATTTCTAGGAATAGCTCTCTGGCTTGGCTTTGTGCCAGATTGTCCATGAGTCAAGTTTCGCTGTGGAGCTCTGAGCGGCTGCCTCGTTGACATCCTTCAGGCTCCTGGGCTGGGGCTGCAAATGGCCCTGTCACAATGCCTGCACAGAGCTCTGCAGCCCAGGGCCCCAACATGGTGATGGATAGGACCTGTGTCTTACAGGCTCTCCTGGACTTTACTCTTGCTACAGACAGAAAGAACTATGGGGTGTGGGGGTGCGGAGCGGGGTCACCTCTGTGACCTCAGCTCCTTCACATGCCCACTCGGCTCCCTGGTTGTGGGTGGGTTTGGATGGTGCCAGGCTGAGCACACTCCCCCTTTTTATTTTGAGATGTGGCAAGTCTGACTCTTGAACCCAGGTTCAACCCCACAATATATAAGATTGTGTCTGTGGTTGGGGACGTGCAGATGTCAAAGCCAGATATAAGAAGTGGTTCCCACTCCAGTTTCAGTGAAGAGATTCAGTTATCATCTTTACAAGACCATGATGAGCTTCACAGAACTGAATGTGACCCCAATCCTGTCTCCACTTAGAGGGGCACTGCTAACTTTCATGTCACTGTGTGGTCTTTGCAGTGTGTTCTGAGGTGCTCTGTGGTTTTACATTTACTCAGGTGGTCAGCATTCATTTCTAGATTTGCTTTTGTTTTTCTGGCTGCTCTGCATGCAGACACGGCTGGAGACCCACACAGAACAGGCAAGAGCAGGCACTACAGGCAGGGACAGCATCTTGGCACCCTTGGGGGCGACAGCATGAACAGCTTGTGGGGCCAAGGAGGGTGCCATCCATCTGCACCCCTGTAGCCAGCCAGTCAGCACCTCCAGCCTGTGCACTGACCTGTCTGCTGTGTGCAGTGGCCTGCAGGAAGGGCAGGTCCCTGGTGTAAACCACCAAGCAGGTTGCAGACCAGCAATCTGGAGCCACTTCTGGGCCAGATGAGTTGACTCAAGGTTTTACAAATTGTTGAATTAGTTGCTGATATAAGGTAGCATGAATTTGGCCATGAGTAGCAGAATACCGTATCTGACTGACATGGCGTTCTAAGGGAGAGAGATGCTTGGCAGCAGGTAGTGCAGCTCTGAGCATGGCACTCTCTCCCAGCTCCATGGCAGGAAGCCGGGGGCAGAGCTAGTTCGCTTTCCTCTCTTCAGAAAGGGAAAGCTTTTCCGGAAGTCCCTACCCATGGCCTTGCCTTTACTTCAACATGGATAGAGCTGCGGGAAGAGGGGGTGTCCTTCCCAAAAAAAAGTGCAGCTGACCAGGTCTTGCTACGGTTCCAGTACCTCCAGATGAGCAGACTTCCCTGCCAACTCTAGATGGCTAGTTCTGCTTAAGGGGTGCAGAGCTCCCAGCTGGGCTGCCCAGCTCCTTGCTGGGGACCAGAGTCCTGCCCAACAAGTTGACCCTTGGTGCCCCACCCTGATGTATACTTGGCTTCACGGCCTGGCTGTAATGGGCCTCTGCTCTAAGTCTCCTTCAGCACTGATACCTTAGATTAGAGCAAGAATCCTTTCTTGTCTACTGTGTACCAAACCACCTTACGAGTTTACATCTGGGGGCAGTTATCCCTGGGAACTTTAACAAAAGCAGATGTGCTAATTAGAGATATCAGGTGAGAGTCCAGAGTCCTTGATTTGGTCCCCTAGGGATCTGCACTGTGGTGACACTGCAGTTGTTGGCAGAACATGTGTGTGCATGTTTGTGTGTGCATGCGTGCACATGGACAATTGCTTCTGCTTCCTGGCTGTCCTCATCTCACTGAGCACCTACCGTGAGGCTGCTGAGTTTCCTCTGCTGTCAGGACCTGTGTGAATTTGTTAGGCCATGCCTGAATTTCTCATTCTTATTACATTCATGTGCCCCAGCATTCTGCAATTGGGAACAACATCTTATTTATCTCTGAAAGTCTTACAGTTTATCAGAGTCCCTGGCAAATGGTCAGTACAGTACTCAATCAGTGTTTAAAGAGAAGTCAGTTTAGTTCAAGGGCAACTTTTGCTGCTTTATAAGCCATTTGAAGGTAGAAGACATTGGAGAGGCACATGTGCAGTCTGTCGCCTAAGGTATCTGCACTTAACCCACAAACCAGTCCAGAACGAGGTCTGACTGGCACAGGACACACAGGCTGGTTGGGAGCACACCGAAGTGGGGCTTGAGCCCTGCCTGGCTTTGTGCCTCAGGGATGTGGCACAAGGCCATGCTAGTAGGCACTCTTTGAATGGTTAGGGGCTGAAGGAGTGACGAGAAAAGAGGGTGGTCTGAAAAGCGAAGAAGTTAGAAGAAGAAAGAATTAAGGCATGCATCATCATTTAGAACTTCTATTATTTTTATTTATTGAGACAGGGTCTCGCTCTGTTGCTTAGGCTGGAGTACAGTGGCATGATCTTGGCTCACTGTAGCCTCACTGTCCTGGGTTCAAGAGATCCTCCCACCTCAGCCTCCCAAGTAGCCAGGACTACAGGACTACTATTTTTTTTTTTTTTTTTTGCATTTTTTACAGAGATAAGGTTTCAACATTTTGCCAGTTAGTCTCGAATTCCTGAGCTCAAGTGATCTGCCCACCTCACCCTTCCCAAATGCTAGGATTATAGGCATGTGCCATCGCACCCAGCCCATTTAGGACTTCAGAATTTGCAAAGCATATTGGCATGTATTAACGTCATCCACCCTGTGAGATACCAGCCCCACTTTATAACTGAGAAGATAAGTGGCTTTTCCTGGACCACATGGTCCAGTAAGTGGCAGAGAGGGATTAGAGCCAGAATTTCATTTCCCTACAGCTCTCCACCGAGCTGCAGATGGGACTGTCAAAGTCCAGGGAGACCAGTGTGGGAGAATGCTTTTAGATTTTCCAGATTGACAGGAGTAAACTAGCTTTTAGGACTTGGAAAGCCCACATGACATGGACACCTTCCTCACCTGCATTATGATGACCTGCACCCTCCACAGCTGGTGTGAGGGTCCCTGTGTACTGCTGGGGCGTTGAGGGCCTCAGTTTGAACATGGGGGATTGTTCAGAACCTCCCCCAACCCCAGTCAGCAGTAACTGTGTGTTTCAGAGATTTCTTACAGAGAAATTCTAAAAATTCCAGACAATCCATAGCCTTCCTAGACCTCAGCATTTTAAATGATGGATTCTAACGCTGAGACAGCTCTAGCCACAGACAGTGTGACCAGATTTTGATGGTGTGGAACTAGGAAAGCTTTCAGTAAACCTCAGGAAGAAAAATTATGGTTTCTTTCTTTGTTTCTTTTTTCTTTTTTTGCCTAGGCTGGTGTGCAGTGGCGTGATCTCAGCTCACTGTAATCTCTGCCTCCCGGGTTCAAGCAGTTCTCCTGTCTTGGCCTTCCTGGTAGCTGGGATTATAGGCGCCCACCACCACACACAGCTAATTTTTATATTTTTTAGGAGAGAAGGGCTTTCTACCTTGTTGGCCAGGGTGGTCTCAAACTCCTAACCTCAAGTGATGTACCTGCCTTGGTCTCCCAAGTTTCTGGGTTGACAGGCATGAGCCACCACACTGAGCCATATTCTGGTTTCTGTTACACAGTGGATTATTTGACTGTAGCAAATAATAATGTAGCATATGTTTCAAGATAGCTACAAAAGAAGCTTTTGAAAGTTATCGCTACAAAGTGCTAAATGTTTAAAGTGATGGATAAGGTAATTACCTTGATTTGATCATTATATTATACAACATATATATGCATTGAAGTGTCACACTGTAGTGCATAAATATGTACAGTTGTGTGTCTATTATACATAAAAATCAATTAACAGTTAAAGAAGCCTCAAGTAGAATTTTCTTTTCATCATATATTGAGTAAAATAGAGAGATGTCATTTCTCTCTTTTTCTTCCCCCAGGACAAGACATTTCAAAGAAAGTATTAAATTCATTCACGAGTGCCGACTCCGTGGTGAGAGCTGCCTTGTACACTGGTATGTATGTCTGTTGCTTAATAGCGCTCCAGCATGCTCTTTGGCTTGGCCTCATATCAAGTGTTTTTCTGTGTGTGATCAATGGTTTCACCTCCTAATAGTTTTCTGTAAACTCTAAATCTCAAATGCATGCACCATGTATCCACTACCATGTGTTAGTCTCCCTTTCCTTCTATGGAAGGAGAACCTAACTGGTTTTGCTTTTTTTTTGCTTTTTTTTTTTTTCATTTCCATCGCTGAGATTTCTGTACGGACCATGAAGTTTACTAGACAACAAAAACTTCCCTTTGCTGGCTTGTCTCCAGCATTTCATCAGAACAGCCTGTTACAGATAACACAGATTCTGTAGGCTTGACCCTGAAACCTCAGCGACTTTTTGAAGACATGGTTTTTTTTTCTTCAGCAGACTTGATTGCAAATGTGGATTTTTAGTATTGCATTACTGTCAACACCAAAATGACCCAGTTTAGTGATAGCTGTCTGCTTGCATTCTGCTATAATTTGCGTAGATACACACACACACACACACACACACACACACACACACACACACAGAAAAGAAAGCTACTATAACACACTTAACCCAAGGATGATGCATCTGAAGCTCTTGGCGGTGTGCCTAGCAGATAGAGAGTTCTCAGTGATAGTGGGCTGGCATTTTTATTACCGCTCATAATCATACTAATAACATGGCTCATTTGCTCAGGGAACCAATGGCCAACATTCTGGAGACAGGGCTTTGTTGTCTAAGTGCTGGCCAGACAGGTCCCCTCTCTGTCTTGAATAAAGTGTGATATTAATTAACTGAAAGCCTAACAATCGTTTGACATTCCCCCAAAACAGTTACTCTTGCTCTGTGAGCTCTTTAGGACGGTGAAGTGATAATTCCTGGGGAATATTGCTGCTAAGGGTGGTGGCAGCCCTGCCAGAACAGAGAGAACCCAATGCATGACATTTAGAGAAGCCACCTATAAAAGACCATAATGTGTTCTAAGGGCCAATAACCCATGACAGGGGAGGACTCTGGGTAGTTGTTTTTAGAATAGTGTCTGCAGTTTCATATAGTTCTTGAAATCATGATTTTTTCATTTCATTTTTTTAAACAGTAGAAAGTATAATAAATACAAAAGGTAGGATTTTAGTTTTCATTTCTATTTGGCTTTCACATATCTTGGGGGTTCAGTTAGAGCCAGTTAAAGGGGAATTCCGGAACTCCCACTCCTGGGCTTCTCCAGGCTCCTAGTGAATGTGAATCTCCAGGGTTGCAGCCCAAGAGGGTCTGTCTTTTAAAATCTCTCCCAGTTTTCTAATATAAAACCGTAGTGAAGAGCCACTACTTGAGAGTGGGGTTTTAAAATAATGATTTATATTTGAATATGTGTAGGCCCGATATTCTAGGAAGTAATATTTCACACAGTTATATACATCTAAAGATAGACTTTTCTTAAAGCAAGACGTTTGCTAGACTTCCCCATCTTAACCTGTTACTAGAACACTCAAGTCTGACGAAGCACAACCTTTCTGTGACCGCCTCCATTTGCATGTACATGTAAAATGAGCCCTCTCACTCAGCCTGCTCCAGGTAGCTCACCCTAACCGTTACTGCCTGCAGGGTGCCTTGCTCCCACCTGCAGACGCAGCATGCCTGCTCTGTATTCAGCATATATTTGTCAAAAAAAGCATAAAAGTCAGATTGGGTAAGGGCTTCTGCATGTCATGGGCTTTAAAAATCATAGATCTAGCCCTCATATAGCTAAGAAAACTAGACTTTTAAGGAACATGAAGCATTCTAAACCAATGTAGGTTATAAATGGGTTTGTTGCGTAGGCCCTGGAAGCCTCAAGTTCCCGTGGAGTACGTCAGTCATGTCATTTGTCCAGGAAAATGGGAAAGTCCTGAGGAGGGGCTTAGGACCAAGGGAGCATCTGGAGCCACAGCTCATAGAAAACCAATAAATGAAGCTCAACAGCAGAAGAAAGCCTGCGATTCTAGTGCCAGGAGGTAGAGGAAGCTGGTATGCTGAGTGCCGAGTGGGTTCCTGGTAGTGTGCTTACTGTCCACATGTAATCCAAGGCAGGAAGACTTTGTAAACAAGGTCCTTAGACTCCCCTGCTCCACATGGATTGGGTGGTGGACCCAGGCATCTGAAATTGCTCTCACCCGTGTGCTTCTCTTGTGCCCCACAGCCTGGCGGGGGTCTCCAGGAGCGTGACGCTGGTGATTGCGTACATCATGACTGTCACTGACTTTGGCTGGGAGGATGCCCTGCACACAGTGCGTGCTGGGAGATCCTGTGCCAACCCCAACGTGGGCTTCCAGAGACAGCTCCAGGAGTTTGAGAAGCATGAGGTCCATCAGGTAAGCAATGCTTAGGGGACATCAGAGATGTAGGCAGGTGCCCCTGGATGGTGGCCACAGTCTTTCCGTACTTAGCCAGCATCATGGTATTTGGAGTTGAAAGGCCCACAGAGGACATCGGCTCCCAGGGTGCCCAGCTGCACCCCCTCAGAAGTTGTCACAGATCCCTCGTGCATCTGTGGAAGCCACAGGCACCTACCCTTTGTTGTTTCCTTGTGCCTGGTACCCTCTACTAGCTTGTTTTTCTCCCTCTGGGTGAAGTACTGTTTCCTTGGTCTGGCCTGTTTTCATGTCCTAGACCAACACCTTGAAGGAACAGTTACGTCTCTTGCTTGACTGTGGCTGGGCAGCCACAGAGCTCTGATTTCCCACTGTTGTTTGTTTCCCTGGTTATGTGCGGTACCATCTCTGCGGTGAAGTCACAGGTGCAAGTCTGCGTGGATGCAGGTGTGCACATGTGTGTGACATTTCGGGTTTGTTTCTATCCTTTTCAGTATCGGCAGTGGCTGAAGGAAGAATATGGAGAGAGCCCTTTGCGGGATGCAGAAGAAGCCAAAAACATTCTGGGTAAATATAAGGAGCAAGGGCGCATGGAGCCCCAGCACGGTGCCAGGCGGTGGAGCAGTTTTCCGGCACTGGCTCCGCTGGCCTACGATAATTATACGACGGAGACCTAACACAAGGGACCTGCTGCCTTCCTTCCCACCGCTTGTCTTCAATGCGCCCGGCTGGGTGGTGGTGTGGTGGTGCTGGCCGCCGAGGAAAGGAAAGGGAGATAGCCAGGGCAAGGTGGGGCGCTCAGGGCTCCTTCCCAAGCAACACTGCCCAGCCCTGCTCCAGGCCCCTTCACTCCGCCCACCTCTGCCCCGGCTGTACCTGAGCTTGCTGCCCTTGGGGATGTTGCCCAGCGGCTGTGCACTGCTCTGTGCACATGAGTGTGAGTGCACACGTGTGTGCATGGGTGAGTAAATGTATGGATGCATGTGTGTGCCTGTGTGAGGGTATGTGCACTTAAGTGTGTACATGTATGTGCGTGTGTGTGCACATGGATGTGTGTGTGTGAACTCTTCCATATTGCTGGAAGTCACAGAATTCATATTGCTGCCCAGGTTAGTGTGGCCACCTTTCCCTTTGTCCAAGACTCCACATGGAAGGCATTTGAGCTTGACCTCTGAAAAGCTACCTAGCAGTCTGTGCCTGTGAGCAAACAATGAGAACTCAGGGGACAAGTGGCTAAAAGCATGGCCTCTCCCAGAACCCACCCAGGGTGGTGTGACAGGGGCAGCGGGGGTCAGAGTCCTCTAGAGAGAGGGTGGCTCTGGGGCCCTCGAAAGGGTGAAGGACTGCCCTGAGCTGCGCCAGTGGGCCAGGCCTTTATACCGACTCAGCTTTAAGGGAAGTACTAGATTGCCTCAATCTCAGTGTGAATGTACCAGGCCTAGGGTTCCCTAACACCTTGAGTCAAGGCCGCTTTTCAGCCCATAGAGCCCTGAGTTCTACCTGCTGTTTGTTCTCTGGGACTGACTTCACTTCAGCTCTGTGGTCCTCAGACTTACGTTAGCCTAAGTTGGGTGCACCAGGGCGCCCCACCTCTCTGCTCCTGGCCAGTGTCACTGACTCCCAGCCTCTTGCTATGCTCACTTTGCAGGGGCCCCTTCTCAAGGTTTGCATGCACCTGCGGGAATTGGGAAGAAAGAGCGTTTACTAGGCACTGTAGCAATTTGCATTTTAAAATGCCTGAGCATTTATTAAGCTTCTTGATATTCACTTGGGTTTGATAATTGATCTGAGCTACCTCATTGAATGTTTTTTGGAAAGGTGTTTTTTTTGGTATGCAAGTCAACTTTGCCTCACAGTCTAAAGTGTTCGGTCATCATTGCTTTTGAAACCAAAGGAAAGGCACCAGTATCATTGAGCTATTTAAAGTTTCCACTTTGGGCTCCAATAATGCTTTCTGGTGGGTAAAATTCCACATTCAGGCCCCGAGAGTATCTGCAGTTTGCACTTCGGGGCTGCAGGCATCCTGGGATGCTGTACACAGCTCAGTGCTCTAGCCCTTTATACCGACTCAAATTTCTTAAGGATGCAGAGCCACTCAAATGAAAAAACATACTCAACGTCTCCCTAAAAAGATGTTACAACCCATTTTCTCCAAATTCCACCACAAAAGAGCCCCTGAATAAGAAGAGCCGTTTTCCTATGCATACAGAGGGTGTGACAAAGGAGAGCTTTTTGGGGATCAGGGAAAACAAAGTTGCTGGATTCCATGCACGTGCATGGTGCCGGATATACACCCAGAAAGGGGATGTGGCTGTAGAATCATCCATCTATCTACAGCTGAAACCATTTGCTGATAAAGTACACATATTTCTGTAAACCAAAAATAAATATGTTAATGGAAAAATTATTTAGGATATTAGCTTGAATGCTTAAATATGTGCACCTTTACAAACCTCTAAATGTATTCTTGTAGTTCTTGAAGTGTTGTTTTAATATTTGTTGCCAGTAATGTTCTTTCTTCACAGCCGCTCCAGGAATTCTGAAGTACTGGGCATTTCTCAGAAGACTGTAATGTACCTGAAGTTTCTGAAATATTGCACACCCACAGAGTTTAGGCTGGTGCCGTCAAAAAGAAAAGCCACATAGAGTTTATTTTTAAGTATCCAGTAGTGATTTGTAAACTTGTTTTTCGCTTTAAGCTGAATATATGTCATTTATGTTGAGAACAAAGAATATTCTTTAGCAAGAGAAAATATTGTCCCCTTACCTCCACTGCCGTGGCGGTTTCTGTACCTCACTTTGATGCCTGCAAGGATCCCAGGAGCCTTGATGCACTGCCTTGTGATGGCTTGGCACTCGTGATTGCTTCCCATGAACACTACCCAAAGACAAGGCCAGTGTGGCCTTGGTGTGGGTTTTATCTATGGTTTGTGTTTGTGATCTCTGTAGTGGAATTGACCGAAAGCTCTATGTTTTCATTAATAAAGGGCAACTTAGCCAAGTTTAATGTCATTGCAATGCATTCTTCCCTAGCCAACAGGCAGTCGCCATGCGCCCTACTGCCTGTGAGGGATTCCATGGCAAGATTGAAGCCTACTCCTGGTTTTATTTTAGAGGCCATTGTTTTCCTCCAGAAGGCACTGTAGCTGATGCTGGAAAAGGTGAATTCCTGTCTCCAAGAAAGAAAAATAGGCCATCAATGTGAGGTGAAAGAAATTTGGACATGAGAGTTATGTTTTGCCTGCACAGAGTGGGAGCTGCATATCTGGCACCTCAGATGATTGTGTTTACACAGGAGTGTGCACCCAGCCACGCCGTGCACACCTGCTGCACGGCGTTCAATACAGTTACTCTGATTTCATATGCAGCTTTTGACCTGAAGGAACATCACCTGACTTGCAGAGAAGTTTAAGTCAATTTGTAAAATTTTCCTTCTCTGATCCAGTGGGAAAAAAAGGAAATTTAACTCTTTACTAGGATAATTTTGGGTTGAACTAAAGGCAAATGAACTCCCGAGCAGATTGACTGTAGGTGGCAGACTTGATGTAGGTTTTAATGCCTTGAAGCTCCCGTCAGAGGGGCTGGGGGCCACAGGAGAGGCAAGGATTGGTGAGGCATCTTGCCAGGTTCCCACATGTCTGACTCCTGAGCTTGTAGCCTCTGCAGCAGTCCAATGAGTGTGAGGGGACACTCTGATTGGTTTCAGGCAAAAGAAACACCTCAGGTGTGACGATGCTTATCTTCACTCACCATGCACACCTGGTATGGCAGAGGTAGCTCTGTCCCCGGGGCCTCTGAGTGTTTTCTGGGCCAGATCAATGAGCCCTGGATACGTCTCCTGTGGGGCCCACTCAGGAGGCAGCAGCCAGGTCCCAGCACAGTCCCAGGAAGACTGTGTGTGTATCCTGGGGTGTGAGGCAGTGGCCACAGCAGGAAAACAGATTTTCAGACAACAGCACCAGTCTGCAGGGTCACCCAACCTGTCAGCCATGCCACTTCCCACTACCATGTCTTACTGCAGGATTATATCTGACACCAACACCCATTATCTCTTAATTGTGTACTGCTGTGCAGGTCACAAACTGTTGCCCCTAAGCTTTACAGACACCCACAAAGAAGGTATTTCCCTCACTCGAGTCTCAGAGGGGCCGTGAAATGCACCTCAGAATGTACCTGAAGATGTTCACATTGCCAGGTCTGGAACCTGCTGGATATTTTGGTCCCAAATCAGTGGGCGGGGAGGGAAGGAGCAAGGGGACGAGGGGCTGCCAACTGTGGCTGGAGCAAGCAGCTGGGAGGAGCTTGGCAGGGTCACAGGCTTCAGCCCAGGCCTCTGGAGGACTCTGCTGAGGCAGCCCAGGCCCCAGGCAGCAATATTGGCACAACTGTTGAAATCAGGAACCTCTCCTTGCCTGCCCCCTCCTGTCTCTGCAGGTTTGTTTTGGGCCATCCATAGGGGGCAGTCAATTCCTGACCTCTGTCTGGAAGTTCGGGGCCATGCTGAGATAGTATTGACCATCTTAGACCCTGCAAGCCAGAGATCCGGTCTGTTCACAACCAGACCAGGCCTTGTGGGTCACCCTGAAGATGGGTATCGGCTACCTCTGAGCCACCATAAAGACCTGGGCTTGTACAATGAGGTGGGTTGAGGTACACGGCACTTTCCCTTAGGCTGTTTTTTCTTTGATTTCTCTGAACACAGATCTTTTCTAGCGTGAAACTCAGAATCACAACCTACAAGCACAGGAGACTCAACTGGGCCAGCTGCCTCTTCATTCGTTCATTCATTCGCTCACTCACTTGACAGTTTGTATTCATCATAGCAGGTGCTATGGGATCCAGCCAGGCCTCAGGCATACTCCTGATTCTCAGGAAGACTGTGGCCTGGTGTGGTTAGCAGTTAGGAAGGTTGTCACAGCAGAGGTCCCCAGCCTCTGGGCCATTGACCAGTAGTAGTCCATGGCCTGCTAGGAACTGAGCCACACAGCAGGAGGTCAGCAGCTGGCAAGTGAGCATTACCTCCTGAGCACAATACCCATTGTGAACGGCGCATGTGAGAGATCTAGGTTGCACACTCATGAGAATCGAATTAATGCCCAGTGATCTGAGGTAGAACAGTTTCATCTCAAAACCATCCCTGCCCCACTCTGGTCCATGGAAAAGTTGTCTTCCCTAAAACTGGTCCCTGGTACCAAAAAGGTTGGGGACTGTTGACTTACAGGACAGCATGGTAAGGACTATTACAGCTGCCCCTGGTGCCATGTGTGAGGGAAAGGGGTGAAAAGACACATTCCAGTTTGAGGAGGGGAGAGCATTTAAGGGAAGTGTCTTAGAAAACCCAATACCTAATTTGAGACCTGCCGTGTAAGCCATGGAATGAGCTGGGCATGGTGGGAAGAAAGGAGAGTTTAGGGGGAGGCCCCGCATGTGGTGAGTCAGCAAGCATAGAAAGATCATGGGGTTGGGAACGAGAGTCACTCTGCAGCACTGGAGCAACTTCCCTGGGGCTGGGCACCACTGGGATTGTGCAGGCAAGGCTGTGCGCACAGCCAAAGCCTGACCGGTCAGGTTTACTTCCTCGACCAGCCCTTGGAGCTATGCAGGCTCAGAGATGGGCGGCACCTTGCCACTTTCCCAGAGGTCTGATTCCTGAACTTGTAGCCTTGTACATGGTGCGGCTGCAATTCTGCAGACACTGGGGGAGTGAGGAGCCTGCTGAAGGGTGCTGAGCCAGCAGAATGCATGATGGGTGTGCAGGCACAAGGCTCACTTGAGTGCCCAAGTGGGGTTGGGCTGCATGTTGGGACCAGTCAGGAGGCTGATGCTAGGACTATCCCTGTGAGAAAAAAGAGCAGCCTTCCCTAGGTCGTGGTGGTGGAGATGAACAGGGGCCCAGCAGGCAGATGATGGAGGGTGGGGAAGGACACGCAACTGTTTTTGGTGACTAATTGCATGTTGGGAGTGAGGGCCCAGTCCTCTGCCCACTCCCTGGGATTTTGCTAACAGTGCGGTGGCTCTTTTTTCCCAGCAGCTTTCTGTACTGGATGGTGTGTGTGCCTCTGCAATGTAAGGTTTAAGGAAGAGGCTACAGAAGGGGCTGGTTGGGTCCCAGATCGGAGGCCTCCAACGGGCCAAACTTGGGTATAACCCGGCTCTGCAGTTAGGTACTCACGTTTGTCTGTCACCCAGGACACACTCCCGGGGCCAGACTCATGAAAATGAAGGTTGAATTCAAATTTCCAATTTCCTACGTTACTGTGAAGGATAAAATATTGACTCTCCAAAGACTAATGTTATCTCCTGGTCAGGCTAGCTCTGTTTCTGTCATAAGCAAGATTTGGGGGGAGACGTCCTGAGGCATTGTGCAGTGAGCCTGATTGATGGTCAGGACCTGGAGCTGGGGAGCTGAGACTCTGTCCAGACCTGCTGTGTTCTGGGCCGGGATGCTGCTGGTGGGGCAGACGAGGCACGTGCAATCTGAGAGCAGGGCTGCTGCTCCTGAGAGGCTGCCTTTCCTGGGCCCCAGGCAGACCCCTGCTGTGCACCAGCTCTCTCTGCCCAAGGTGATTTTTTTTTTTTGAGACAGTGTCTTACTTTGCCCAGGCCAGAGTGCAGTGGCACAATCTCGACTCACTGCAACCTCTGCCTCATGGGTTCAAGTGATTCTGCCACCTCAGCCTCCCAAGAAACTGGGACTACAGGTGTGCGCCAGCACACCTGGCTGATTTTTGTATTTTTAGTAGAGGCAGGGTTTCACCATGTTGAGCAGGCTGGTCTCAAAACACCTGACCACAAATTATCCACCTGCCTCAGCCTCTCAAATTGCTGGGATTACAGGCGTGAGCCACCAGTCCTGGTCTGCCCAAGGTGATTCTTGACTTAAACTGTGTTTCTTCTTAAATTTTAGTGTTTCCAGATCTCAACACCATTTGTGCTTTTCCCTGGGTTCCTGCAAATGGCTTTTTTTGTTTATTGGGTGCCAGCTCTTTCTAGCTTCATTTTCAGCAGGGAATTTCGTTTCCAACTTCTGGAGCTGCCTAATATTACTTGGATACAAGATAGCCATAAATTCTGCTAATTAGGGTGTGCATATGTGGGCAATGTGTGTTGTATTGTTTTAATTTTATTTCAGAGAACACAGCCTCCAGGAGAGTCACACATGCAACATCTGGGAGTGTGCTGAGCTCAGGTACCTGGCCATTCAGGTAGCTCAGACAGCAGTTTTTCTGAAAGCATTCAGGGAAAGGCCCAAGCCCTCGTTGTACAGCCAGAGCTGGTCACAAAGTGCTGCTCTGCATGCCAGCCTCTAGTCACAAAAATAAGGAACACACTAAGAATCACACCCCTGTGATCCCACATCAGATGTCTCCTCCCATCCTGAGTTATTAATAATTTTATTAAGAATGTTCTTTCAACATGCTTGTATTTATATATGTACTTAACAAGAAATCACCAAGACTGCAGCGGGCAGTTCCTCTTCCCTTTCCTTTTCATTGCCCAGAGAAAGGGAGAAAAAAAAACCCTGCTTTTGACTTGTAGCGTAGAGGCTTAATTCCCTTCCTACACACAGCGGGGTCTTCCGCCTAAGGCGCAGCTTGCTTTGAGACCTGCAGTATCACAATTAGTGTTCTCTTGCAGCTTGGTCTTAACAGCTTAAATTACCATTTGACTGAAGGGTGTGAGTGCTGGGTCTGCATGTGTCTCTTTCCGTCTGAGGAAAGAGTTGCCAGTGCGTGTTTGAACATCTGCAAGTTTGGGTTTATTTTGGCTCCAGATCTGCATGCAAACTGTTGATCATAGAGTTAGACGTTCACAGCGAACCTTCCTGAAGCTTCTAGTTTAGTTTTTAGAGCTTGGTGTCAGAAGACAGCTATTTCAGCAAGTGCCTGAAAGTATGGGCAGTTCAGTATTCTAATTGTGTGTGGTGGCAGCTGTTGCTTTTTAGAGGTAGGTTTAGCAGAAAAAGACATTTTGGATGGGGTCATTTCTTTGCATGTCTTGTGTACA